TCAATTTAGACGATACAAGTTGCATGGCTTATTAAATCTTAATTTTAGAAACTATTATAAAAATTAGAAAATCCCTTTTTCCAAGAAGCCCATGGATGCTCTCGTTCATTATGGGAGAATTGAGAAAGTTACATTGTAAAGGTAACGAGTAAAAACGTGTTTACAATTGGTTTAAATTATAATTCAAGAAGCCAGGAGTTGTTTGAAGCTTTGTGGTATCCTTGGATGTTCTAGTTTCTTTTATGATAAGAACTCTTGTAAACAAAAGATAAAATTCGAAAGCAAAACCCCGTTTTCGGTCCATGCTTCCCGATACCTTCTTAAGCGTAAGGCACTAGAACGCCGCATGTTAACGTTTCGGTAGGAGATTTCGGCCCTCCACGCTATCCTACTTGGGAGATGCAATAGCAAGCTTCCGCCATCAGACCCGAGATCACCTGCGATAGGCTTTGCTCGGGGTACGCAGGAGAGTGCGGTCGCCACCGAAGTGTGGGCCCCTAAGCCACTGCATACTATATCGCACCCAGCTTCCACTGCTAGTTGACATCTACTATATGAAGTTTTAGCTTTATATATATATACATAAATTCAAAGCCTTACGAAAGTTGTGGTATTATTAATGTCACTACTGCGCATGCGCAGATTGTTTCTTTGATAAGTTGTGACTAAGTGAGCTAGTTGCCACAAATGTAGTGCAAGTACATCTAGTTAGTCGTTGCCATGACTATGAACAATTGGTCGAGTGGACTGCGCATGCCCTAGCGCATGCGCAGATGATTTCTCCATTAAATTGCTAATAAGCATGCTATTTACTTCAAAATCGATGCTAGTAGATGCAGTTGGTCGTTGCCATGACCATGAACTTGGCCAGCTGGTCAAGCCGACTGCGCATGCCCGAGCAGACTGCGCATGCGCAGATAATATATCTGAAAATTTGTTACTGAGCGAGGTAATTACTCCATAGTACATACAATTGGTCGTTTCCATGACCATGAACTTGGAGAGTTGGTGGAGTTGATGATCAGATTAATTCTCAATTAATTTGTGATGGAACGAGCTCTGAAATTGGTGCTTGTAAATGCGCTTAGCAAATTTACAATCATATATTTTTAGCATGCTCTTTGTCTTCTTTAGCTTGTTTTTGTTATGGCACTCGTAATATCCGCGACAATGTTAGAGATGTTTTTATTTTTCTCTATAACTTTGTATCTGCATATAGATTGCATGTCATATCCAAGCTTTCCTTTGACTTGACGAAAAATGGTTTTTATTCACTCTTACATTTTCTGTCTTTATAATTAGTCGTTCTGTACTTTTAAAATAAGAGTTATAAATGCCCCAAGACAATCTTCTTTCTATTTTATTGCCACTATTCTACAAAAAAAATACTATGTCCGAGCATTTGACTGTCTGAATTTTGTAATTTGATCTCGTATTTTTACCTCTTATGTGTTGTGTAGCGATGTTTTTATTTTATTGACCATCGTGACCAATTTTACATAAAATAAAACAACGTTAACTACGTTGAGATTATAACTATCTCAATTTTCATGTTTACATGAATCTGATTTTTATGTTTGCAGTTTGCATCAAATATCACGAGAAATGATTCTGCTCCATATCGTACAGTGACGGTACGAGATGCGTTGTCAGATTTACCAGAAATCAGAAACGGTGCAAAGGCAATAGAAATATCATACGATGGAGATGCACAGTCCCACTTCCAGAGACAGGTGGATACCTCGTAGTCCCGCTTCGTAGTAGACTTTCATATATGGATTAACTTTGGTATCGATAGCCATTTATAATTTTATTACATCTGATATCAGATCTTCACACTATTCTTAAACTGCATTAAATACAACATAAAAGCTGAAAATTCTGTTTACAGATCCGTATGTATAATGAAAACACCGTGTTGCGTGATCACGTGTGCAAAGAGATGACGTCATTGGTCGTTGCTAGGATACAGCGTATTCTCCAAGTACCCGGATCCGATTGGCGTGACTTACCGAACATATGTGTTCGCCTGGCAGATGGGAAATATACGGAGAAATTGCGTTACACACATAAGGATAAAAAGAATGGCACTAGTTCATCCGGGCAACAACGTGGTGTATGTAGCTGTGTTGAGGGTGCCCCCTGTGATCCACAGGATAGACAATTTAACACCCTTATCCCATGGTGTTTACCTCATACTGGAAACAGACACAATAACTGGGCTGGTCTCTATGGAAGACTGGAGTGGGATGGCTATTTCAGTACGACTATAACGAATCCTGAACCGATGGGAAAACAGGTGACCAAAACCTGTCAATTTTCTATTTTTTATTGACTTTAAAAGTTTGAGATTTATTTTCTTTAGGGACGTGTTCTTCATCCCTGCCAACATCGAGTTGTGAGCGTGCGTGAATGCGCTCGTTCCCAGGGTTTTCCAGATACTTACTGCTTTAAAGGAGATGTTCTTGATAAACATAGACAGGTATGAAGACTGTAGTGCGCATGCCTTTGTGTGATTCGGACCCAGTTCACACATCATCCGTTGATTTTGAATATGGTGTGAAAGTCGTACGTTTGGGGTCGTTTTTATACTACACTGGTTTGGAAAAAAACGCTAAAGTAATTGAAACAGTATGTTTATCTGCATGAGTTTGATTTGAAACGGTGTCTATCTGTAGGAGTTTCATTGAAAACAGTATGTTTATCTGCATGAGTTTGATTGGAAACGGTGTGTCTATCTGTAAGAGTTTCATTGAAAACAGTATGTTTATCTGCATGAGTTTGATTGGAAACGGTGTGTCTATCTGTAAGAGTTTCATTGAAAACAGTATGTTTATCTGCATGAGTTTGATAGAAAACGGTGTCTATCTGTAAGAGTTTCATTGAAAACAGTATGTTTATCTGCATGAGTTTGATTTGAAACGGTGTGTCTATCTGTAAGAGTTTCATTGAAAACAGTATGTTTATCTGCATGAGTTTGATTTGAAACGGTGTGTCTATCTGTAAGAGTTTCATTGAGTATGTTTATCTGCATGACAATTGATCTGTAAGAGTTTCATAATGAAAACAGTATGTTTATCTGCATGAGTTTTTGATCTATTAAGTTTCATTGAAAACAGTATGTTTTGCAGATGAAATTGAAATTGTGTTATCTGTAAGAGTTTCATTGAAAACAGTATGTTTATCTGCATGAGTTTAATTTAAAAATGGTGTTTAATCTGTAAGAGTTTCATTGAAAACAGTATGTTTATCTGCATGAGTTTAATTTGAAACAGTGTGTGTAAGATTTTCATTGAGTTTAATTTGTTTACATGAGTGTTTATTGAAACGAGTTTGTTGATCTGTAAGAGTTTCATTTAAAACAGTGTTTTGATAAACATAGTTTGGTTTGAAACTGTGTGATCAAGTTTTATGATTTTGATCTGCATGAGTTTTATTGGAAACGGTGTATCTATCTGTAAAAGTTTCATTGAATTGAAACAGTATGTTTATTTGCATGAGTTTAATTTGAAACGGTGTGTCTATCTGTAAGAGTTTCATTGAAAACAGTATGTTTATCTGCATGAGTTTAATTTGAAACGGTGTGTCTATCTGTAAGAGTTTCATTGAAAACAGTATGTTTATCTGCATGAGTTTAATTTGAAACGGTGTGTCTATCTGTAAGAGTTTCATTGAAAACAGTATGTTTATCTGCATGAGTTTGATTTGAAACGGTGTGTCTATCTGTAAGAGTTTCATTGAAAACAGTATGTTTATCTGCATGAGTTTGATTTGAAACGGTGTGTCTATCTGTAGGAGTTTCATTGAAAACAGTATGTTTATCTGCATGAGTTTTATTGGAAACGGTGTGTCTATCTGTAAGAGTTTCATTGAAAACAGTATGTTTATCTGCATGAGTTTGATTTGAAACGGTGTGTCTATCTGTAAGAGTTTCATTGAAAACAGTATGTTTATCTGCATGAGTTTGATTTGAAACGGTGTGTCTATCTGTAAGAGTTTCATTGAAAACAGTATGTTTATCTGCATGAGTTTGATTGGAAACGGTGTGTCTATCTGTAAGAGTTTCATTGAAAAACAGTATGTCTAACTTAACCATATGAATTTTATCGCAATTTTGCGAAACCTGTTAAAAATACGTGGTGTAGCCTGGATATTTAAGGAGCCTTATATCATAGAATTTTGCTACAGCATCTTGTTAAATCTTTGTTATAAAGCAAATTGATATGCTAGATCAATGTTGTATTTTTTTATTAGATTGGTAATGCAGTACCTCCCCCCATGGCCAAAGCTATTGGCTTGGAGATCAAGAAATGTTTGATAAATTCGGCAATCAATCAATTTCATCTACAATAGCACTACACATTAATTTCAACTTGATTTAATCAGCCACTTCTTTAGCTTATAGTTTTAATCATTTTTGCCATATTTCTTTTCTCAATGTGTTAGAAAGAGTTAGTGATGTAGGTTTATCTAATTGCTAGAGACTTTTATGAAGTGTTTTAGTCCATTTTTTTCAAATAGCAGCAGTTATTTAAATCGATTTAACTTTTGTACTAAGTTTTATATTTTCAATTTTTCTAACTGTTGATGCTTTACACAATTTAAATAGAAAAATAAAAGCTATGTTTTTATGTAAGAAACAAGGCGTTCACTGTACATGATCTTTGGTCGACAAAAAGTTCAGCATGTTTGGATGACATATTTTAATATGTATTTATGTTATTTAATATTTTAAGTGTGGCGTTATGGAAGCGTTTGTTGAATTTACTTTCAGGAACAATAACTTGCATGAAAATATCATGGAGAATGATTAAGTTTGAAAAGTCAATTGAAGATTGGATATTTACTATCGTATATCTTAGTAGAAAATATCCCTCACAATTGCATTTTATAATGCTTAAGACCGATGATTTGAAAGAGAAAAACGATCGCACATCGTTACAATGCTTCTTTAGTTATCAGAAACATCACAGAGTAAAAAGGACTTAAAATTCGTGTACAATAACCTGAACCAAGTTAGCCCACTTCAAAATTGCGTTTGTATGTAAAAGGTTTGAATGTTAACTACAGCTTGATAATCTTTTGGGAATTCTTGTCGTTCGTGTTTGTTTATTGCAAACTTGCGACATGACTCGTTTACAAAATCAATCCCATTTTTAACTCAGTCTTTGGTCAACCTCAGTACTAAGCTCCACTGCAAAACTCTCTTCTCTCTTTTCCATCTTCATTCTTGCCTGCAACACCCGAAAATTTTGCTGAAGTCTGGCCTAAAATAATGGTGTTTCGTTCGTAAAACTTTCGTTTATTTCCTTGTTTAAGCGCTTTTTAAGATAAAATTTGAGACGTTTTTGAAAGGCTATTGGTATTAAAAATGATTCAAGAAAGCCGACCAGAGCATGTTTCTCAAAGGAAAAAAGTTTTAGCTGAAAAACTTTCAAAGGTAAACTTGCTGTCAAGACAAGACGTTCAAGTTTGACAACCAAGATATCAGTTCTGTTGAATAGAAATGGTTTTTACTTTTAGGAGCAAGCAAATTTATCATTTTTGAAAGATAGTTTGACGAAAAGCGACGATTTGACAGAAAATATGGTAAGGACAAGTTTAGTAAAATTTTGGAATAACAACATCAACTTTCAAATTGAAGATTTGATTCATTAAAATAGCAAGGTTATATTATTTTCAGCGTGGTATCTTGTCATCATTTAACGAACGCTTAAGCAAGCTAGAAGAAAACATTTTACCTGTGCATAAAGAAACTGTTGAACTACAACGTCGACAAAGAAGTATCCTTTTACACTCTATTTTATTCATACTCAAGTTTATTTTCTTAAGGTGCAATTCTGTTTAAGTCTTTTGAAGAAGACAAACAATGAGGTTGGAAAACTTGCTCTCTCTCGCAGCCACACGACCATTTTAAACTATATGTTTCCCCTCTAAATTACTTTGCTGGTACTTATATCATCTCAGGGTAAACTGCAGCATCCCACCATGATATTGAACTAATATTTTCTTGCAAAATCGAAATGGTACAATCGGCTTTGTGTTGCAGCATATTTCTGGTTTTAAGTCACTGGCAGCAAATAAATTCACATCCTTGCAGCTATACAGGGACTTGATACAAGTTTTCCAACCTGGGCAAACAACAATGTTTCATTAATGCTATAACAGATACACATATGTTGTAGTTCCCTTGACCAATCTCCCCAGATATTGATAAAGTTTTACGAGGGCTAGATAATGTTATCAGCTATCATAATGTTGCTTCGAAAGAAGACCAGGACATCAGAGATGGGTGAGTGTTTCGATGATGGTTTGTATCCCCCTGACTAAAAGAAAAGGTTGTAAGATGGTTTTCTCCCCCCTGACTAAAAGGAAAGGATGGTAGGATGGTTTATCTACCTCTCCTTCTGTGATTTCATATGTTTATCAGCTGATTTTTTTACTCTTGTCCAAGTTCTTTCCAATGTGAAGTTGAAACAGAAATTGTTTTATCTAACTCCTAAATTTTCACGTCTTCATCCCTCATCATCCCTCATCATCTGTCTCTATCCCTTCATTATATTCATAAATTTCCATTATTTTTTCAGACCTGGTGCTGATGTCGATAGTTACATACAAAGCTTGATAAAAGTTCAAGATGCCATTAAATTTTTTGAAGACAATAATCCCAACAGTCCTGAGTTATCCCTCCTTGTGAGTTCATTTTGAAAACAACATACCCAATATTCCTGAGTTATCCCTCCTTGTGAGATCATTAAGTATTTTTTGAAAACAACATACCCAATAGTCCTGAGTTATCCCTCCTTGTGAGATCATTAAGTATTTTTTGAAAACAACATACCCAATAGTCCTGAGTTATCCCTCCTTGTGAGATCATTAAGTATTTTTGAAACAACATACCCAACAGTCCTGAGTTATCCCTCCTTGTGAGATCATTAAGTATTTTTGAAACAACATACCCAATAGTCCTGAGTTATCCCTCCTTGTGAGATCATTAAGTATTTTTGAAAACAACATACCCAATAGTCCTGAGTTATCCCTCCTTGTGAGTTAAGTATTTTTGAAAACAACATACCCAACAGTCCTGAGTTATCCCTCCTTGTGAGATCATTAAGTATTTTTGAAAACAACATACCCAACAGTCCTGAGTTATCCCTCCTTGTGAGATCATTAAGTATTTTTGAAAACAACATACCCAATAGTCCTGAGTTATCCCTCCTTGTGAGATCATTAAGTATTTTTGAAAACAACATACCCAACAGTCCTGAGTTATCCCTCCTTGTGAGATCATTAAGTATTTTTGACAACATACCCAACAGTCCTGAGTTATCCCTCCTTGTGAGATCATTAAGTATTTTTGAAAACAACATACCCAATAGTCCTGAGTTATCCCTCCTTGTGAGATCATTAAGTATTTTTGAAAACAACATACCCAACAGTCCTGAGTTATCCCTCCTTGTGAGATCATTAAGTATTTTTGAAAACAACATACCCAACAGTCCTGAGTTATCCCTCCTTGTGAGATCATTAAGTATTTTTGAAACAACATACCCAACAGTCCTGAGTTATCCCTCCTTGTGAGATCATTAAGTATTTTTGAAAACAACATACCCAACAGTCCTGAGTTATCCCTCCTTGTGAGATCATTAAGTATTTTTGAAAACAACATACCCAACAGTCCTGAGTTATCCCTCCTTGTGAGATCATTAAGTATTTTTGAAAACAACATACCCAATAGTCCTGAGTTATCCCTCCTTGTGAGATCATTAAGTATTTTTGAAAACAACATACCCAACAGTCCTGAGTTATCCCTCCTTGTGAGATCATTAAGTATTTTTGAAAACAACATACCCAACAGTCCTGAGTTATCCCTCCTTGTGAGATCATTAAGTATTTTTTGAAAACAACATACCCAACAGTCCTGAGTTATCCCTCCTTGTGAGATCATAAAGTATTTTTTGAAAACAACATACCCAACAGTCCAGAGTTATCCCTCCTTGTGAGATCATTACATATTTTTTCAAGTCAATCTTGCTTAATTAAAAAGTTAATTTCCATTTCAGACATCTTTAATGGAAACAGGACGTGAACAAATGGAACGTTCATTTAGACAGTTCCTGGCGCTAAACAGTAGTCCTCTTGAAGCTGAAACATTGATTGATTTATTGAATTCTAATGAAGGTTGTCAATAGTTCTTGGGGAGGTCAAACTATAGAAAGTTTTAGCAATTTTTTCGGAGGCGTTGTAGATTATATAAAGGCAGTGATTTTCAAAATATCATTTCCCCAACAAATTAGCGCGTAATCCAGGTTTCCATTTGTCTTAACATAGTAATGCCTTTAGGTCAATCTATGTGAAAAATTTCGTTATCCTGTTTAAAACTTAGTTAAACAGTTAGGCCTGTTTCAAACGTCGCGTTTTACATGAGACGAATGCATTTGAAATAAAAGCTAATGAGGAATTTTATCTCATTTTCTTTTCTCTTTAGTGCATTCGGTACATGGCCGTATGTAAAATGTGACGTTTGAAACAGGCCTTAGTCTCGCCATCTTATGTTAAAGACACACGTTATTATGCGTCAGATTTAAATCATTATATCTCAATTCACATTTTTGTATTTCTTTGCAGAAACAGAAGAATCCACGCCTCAATTTAAACCTATAAATGGTAATAAAAAAAAAACAAAGAAATTTCGAGATCAATATTTTAAAACGATAAGCGAAAATGTCTTCTCGTAAATGATCTTTCGCCACTTTTCTAATGATCTCTAGTCTCCCAAATGTTATTTTCTTTTCCACGTTTAGACGAAGCTATAGAAGATTTGAGTAAAATAGCGGCTTGGCTGGTCACAGAAGCCCAATCTAAAGGTATTTCCTTGAAAATATGTTTCACTTTCATTATGGGTTTGGTTGTAACGCGAATTTAGCTAGAGTTTAGAAAAGCGAACGAAACACGAGCCTAAGGCGAGTATGTTCCATTAAACTAAAATACATGGAACGCTACCTGAAGTAAATGAATCCAACTTTCCGACGGTAGACATACGTGGCAAAAATACGAGATCAAATTACAAAATTCGGACTGTGAAATACTCTGACATAGTATTGCATATGTAGAATAGTGGCAATAAAATGGTTAGGAGATGCTTTTGAGTTTTGGAGCATTTTTTAATCCGATTGTATTTATTCAGAACGATTATTTATAAAGGCAGAAAGCATACAGTAAATATTAAACATTTTGGGTTAGAAAAAGCATAACGATCGAAGGAGAGCTTGAATACTGGCATGTTGTCGCGGTAATGACTTTTATGTAAGGATTGTTACGGGCCTTAACGGCGTGACTTAAGAATATCCAGGACGGTTCCAGCTGCAAAAGCGCAAAAATGCAAGCCATACAAAATTTTGAACTGTTATTTTTATTAAATGTTGCTTTCGCTGTCTCTTATCACTATTATTATTATTGATGCATAAAATCTCCCTAAAACTGGATTTTCACATTCATTTACGCGTTATATACGTAAATATGGAATTTTAAACTATAGCTATAAATTTCAATGTATGAAATTACGATGACGCTAAATGATAACATAAAACATTGTCTTATTATGAATATGTGTTAATTGTATTCAAAGGCAGTCGTAAATCTCATCTGGAATCTACATGATACATCGAATCATAAATATTATAAAAATAACAGTTAAAAAAAATTCTATGACTTGCAATTTTCTTCGCTCGATGCAGCTAAAATCAGATCTGGATAATCTTTGGTTGGGTGGTTTCATACAACGAAATGCATAGAACACGCATTTACGTAATAAATTGGACGGCTGTCTCTATGCGATCAAAAGAAGTCCTTTTAATCCGAAAAGTGTACAGTTTATTCGTAAAATTATTCGAGAAGTAAAGTTACTTTCTATATTGAATCATTAAAATATTGTAAGATAAAAAAATTTACTATCAAAAATGTATCAAAATTTTATAACATAAGGTTTGAAACCGAGGTTCAATTTAGACGATACAAGTTGCATGGCTTATTAAATGTTATCTTTGTAGAAACTATTATAAAAAGAAAACAATTTTTTCCATGAAGCTGGGTGCCTTTGTTCGTGATGAGAGAGTTACATTGTATAAGGAGGCTCTCATTCGTCACGAGAGAATTATGAGAAAGTTACGTGGTAACGAGTAAAAAACGTGTTTACAGTTGGTTTAAATTATAATTCAAGGAGACAGAAGTTGTTTGAACGTATCCTTGAATGTTCTAGTTTCTTTATGATAAGAACTCTTGTAAACAAAAAGATAAAATTCGAAAGCAAAAAACCCCGTTTTCGGTCCATGCTTCCCGATACCCTCTTAAGCGTAAGGCACTAGAACGCCGCATGTTAAACGTTTCGGTAGGAGATTTCGGCCCCTCCACGCTATCTTACTTGGGAGATGCAATAGCAAGCTTCCGCCCATCAAACCCCGAGATCACCTGCGATAGGCTTTGCTCGGGGTACGCAGGGAGAGTGCGGTCGCCACCGAAGTGTGGGCCCCTAAGCCACTGCATACTATATCGCACCCAGCTTCCACTGCTAGTTGACATCTACTATACCTAGTATTGACTTTATATATATATACAAAAATTCAGAGGCTTACGAAAGTTGTGGTATTAACAAAGTCACTACTGCGCATGCCCAGATGATTTCTTTGATAATTTGCGACTTAGTGAGCTAATTGCCACAAATGTAGTGCGAGTACATTTAGTTAGTCGTTGCCATGACTATGAACAATTGGTCGAGTGGACTGCGCAGGCTCGAGCGCATGCGCAGATGATTTCTCTATTAAATTGCTACTAAGCATGCTATTTACTTCAAAATCGATGCTAGTAGATGCAGTTGGTCGTTGCCATGACCATGAACTTGGCCAGCTGGTCGAGCCGACTGCGCATGCTCGAGCAGACTGCGCATGCGCAGATAATATATCTGAAAATTTGTTACTGAGCGAGCTAATTACTCCATAATCTGTACTAGTACATACAATTGGTTGTTGCCATGACCATGAACTTGGAAAGTTGGTGAAGTTGACTACGCATACTGCATTAATTCTCGATTAATTTGTGACAGAGCGAGCTCTGAAATTGGTGCTTGTAGATGCGCTGAGCAAGTTTTCAATCATATATTTTTTGCATGCTACTTGTCTTCTTAAGCTTGTTTTGACAAATGCATATTAAACTTATCAACACTTTGTTACGGCACTCGTAATATCTGCGAAATGTTTTTAATTTTCTCTATAACTTTGCATGTCATATCCAAGCTTTTTTTTCATTTGACGGAAAATGGTTTTTATTCACTCTTAACACCTTTTGCCTTTATAATTAGTCGTTCTGGATTTCTAAAATAAGATTTACAAATGCCCCAAGAGCATCTCCCAACCATTTTATTGCCACTATTCTACATAAACAATACAATGTCCGACCATTTGATTGTCAGAATTTTGTAATTTGATCTCGTATTTCTGACGCGTGTGTTTACTGTCGGAAAGGTGGATTGAAGCCAAATCTTACACCCTGATACGCGAAATTTTACCCAAGACACGCGAGTGTTGTGTTTCGAGATTCTCTCGCGGGGTGACGATTGAACTACACACGCGTGTCCGGGGTAAAATCTCGCGTGTCTGGGTGTAAAATTTGGCTTCAAAAAATTATTAGGCAGCGTCCCATGTATTTTAGTTCAATGGTATGTTCAAAAATTTCACGACTGCGCTGATAGCGATTTCAATTTTCGTGTTTTGATGGTCTGATCCAAAGTCGGACATCGACCAATCAGAGCACGCGTTTGGCATATGGTATTTTATAAAAGAATTTTTTGTTCTTTCAGACTTTATGAATGTGTACAGTCAAATTCGATCAAGTGTCTTAATGAAGACCTTACAAGGGTTTGTGATGTACTTGTTACAAGAAACAATGGGAAAAATGCGTGATCCGTTATCAGTATTATACATAACGCAGTCAAACGTTCACTAATATACAATTTTTTTATAAAACAAGCTTTCGGCTCTCTGTCTACAGCCTTCGACGGGTTATAAAAAAATATTTTATAGCCGAAAGCTTGTTTTTATAAAATATTTTATATCAGTGAACGTTTGACTGCATTAAGAAATAATGGGTTTCTATAATTTCGTAAAAGAACTGTTGCTAATGTGCATTTAATATACACGACGATTTTTTTGAGAATAGACATGTTTCTACATTTCTTGATGTCATCTTCAGTAGACATTATGAGATGTCGAAATATGTCTATTCTCATAAAATTCGTCGTCTATATTAAATGCAGAATAATGGGTTCTTTTCATAAAATATTCAAGTTTTTTTGTTTTCGACTTTCCTCAGATTAGTCGAGGGACACTCGCTAGGAAAGATAGAAAGTTATTCTCCTGCCAACATTGTAAGTACATAAAAGTCAGTCTATCTTTTTATCTATAATCTTTTTATCTGAAAAGTTAGAAAAATTTTTTCATCGGAAATGTTGATGTTTCCCCCGGGGGGTGGGGGGTGTTGTCAAGATTTGTTTTACTAGAGGAAGCGAGATTTTTTACCGATGTTTCACCCATTAGAGAGATAGTCTTTTCTGGATACGAAGAGATGGTTTTATTGTAGGGGCTAAAATTTTCAACAGGATTTCCCTGAAGTGTCAAGGTTAACGTCTTCAATGATAATCTCACAATGTACAAACTTATTTACATCTTCAGATGATCAGTCCGAAGTTGAAACAGTTAAGCGGCATCACTCCTCAAAGAAAATCAACTATGAAAAGAAATCTTGTGCGTCGTGTACCATCGAAAGCGTTTGAATACACAGGAAATCGGAAAGTCAACTCACCAGCTGCAATGTTCGATTTGTCAACATCCAAAGAGGATGAAGAGTAATGTATTTTATTGTGTATTTTTGTTCTGTGTTTGTAAACTTTTGTCGTTCGGCGTTCGTCGTAATTGCTCGTAATTGTTCGTCGTAAGAAGATGATTTCGTAAATCCAACTGGATAAAAATGCTCTTCAACCGACAGGCTTAGTGGCTCTTCCCCATTGAACTAAAATACTTGGAACGCTACCTGAAGCAAATAATTGAAGCCAAATCTTAAACCCAGACACGCGAGATTTTACACCAGTCACGCGTGTTTGGTGTTTCGAGATTCTCTCGCGGAGTAATAAT